TATTTCCCTCTCATCATTAATAATCCCTGTGCAGTAAAGGGCTATTGTTCTTGGGTATGAGTAAATAACCCTGCTGGAGACACTGCTTATCTCCAGACCGCAACGTGTGCTTCTTACTGGAAATGTAATGCAGGTGCCAACACTAAGCTTTCCTTCCTATGTCTCTTCCTTTATCTCTTTCTAGCTCTTTACTGTCAGTGCTCTTTTCTCCTGGGGCTTTTCTAGTCCCTGCTTTTTTGTCAGACACTGATACACTGAATGACTTTATTGTCACAATTGAACAATCTTCAAGCCAAACTGTGCCCCACAGGTCCCTGGTCCCCCAGCTTCCAGCCCCTACACACATGCACGCGCGCGCACACACACACACACACACACACACACACACACAGAGGGCTGTTTCCTGTCTTAGATTTAGCTTTTGGTTATTAGAATCTGAAAAGGGAAGTGATACCACATAGTTGTGCAATTCTCAGGATACGTTCATTAGGTGTACTTCATACCACAACAATTCTCTGAAACAGCATTTTTTTATACAAAAAATTACAAGAATATGGCGTATAAGAGATGGGCTCAGGGAAGGAGGTAGATAATACAAAGAGAAAATGAAATTAGGTTAGATCCTAAAACATGGGAAATCATCAGAACAAAGGGGAAATTTAAAATATTCATACCAGAAAAATTTCTAAAAGAGCTACCCTAAACAAAGCAATAGGCGGCAAACGTGTACCCTAAAGGCAGATGTTCTTTGATTGCGGATAGTGCTGGGTCCTGACTGGGACCGGCCTAGGAGCTGCTGACCAACACTGAGACTATTTCCAGCTCAGGAACAGATTAAAATTCAAAGTATAGTTTGTATCATTTTCACATCATTAAAAAATTGAAATTATTTTTCTGTTGGGAACCATCAGTGTATCATGACAGCCCTGGATTATCTGCATACATAAGAACAACCCAAAATTGCAAGAGAGAGAGATTAATCAACCAAGCAACTTATACTTTCCTATTCAAGGCAGAACTTCTAAGTGGAAATCAATTTATCGTTCCTCATTTCAAAATAAATGGGTATATTATTCTTCACTAAAATGTTACACCAGAATGCTGGGATTATAGGCACGTGCCAGCATATTTTAAGAACAAAGACAAGGGTTAGCCAGAGGCCTTTTAGTTACCCAGAGTTAGCTGTGTGAGAGATACATGGGAGGCCTGGGAAGAAGCCAATGTTAGAGACTCATTCATACTACTCTAGCCAGTATCGTCAACCCTTCACAGCAAGTAGGGAAGTCAGAGCGCCAGAGCAGTAACTTAAATTCCTGTTTTGTAACATTCTTCTAAGAAACTGGTTAGAAAACTGCAAAAAAGCTTTGGTGGATGCAAGGCGTGGTGTTGCACACCTTTAACCCCAGCACTCAGAAGTTCAAGGTCAGCCTTCTACAGAGCAAATTGTAGGTCAGCCAAGGCTACAGAGAGAAACCCTGTCTTAAAGCAAAACAAACAAAAAGGGCTTTGGGGGACAACACTGGGCACAGCTGGAGATCTGCTGCACCTGACTCTACACCCAACTATTAGAAACCTAACAGTATTATGCATGGGGGACCATGTTTCCAGAACATTCTCCAAGGACTCTCTAGTTATCAAATGAGCAGCTTTATTTGTAGGACCCAAGAGCTTTTTGCTTTTTTAAATTGTTTTTATTTTTCTCTGTTCCCCCTCTCCCCCTTCTACTCTCTTCCATAGTCCCCATGCTCCCAGTTTACTCGGGAGCTCCAAGAGCTCCTTACTGGGCTGTTTCGAGAGCAGGAACAATGACTGCCTGGCTTTATTTGTGCGGAATGATTGGCACCCACAGTTCTTAAATTCTGTCAGTGCTTCAATCCAACACTAAACAAAAGAACTTTCTATGATCAAACTCTTCCATCTGTTCTATCCAACAGGGCAGAGACTAGCCGCACAGCTCCTGGACATCTGGAACATGTGTTGAAGGAACTGGTATTTAGTTGCATGTGACTAGTGGCTACATATGGATAGCACAGTTAAGTCAATTCCAAATCAAATGTCGCTTTGGGAGTGGGTGGCCGACTTGGGACATAAGACACAAAGGGCAAGCTTTGGCTGTAGCCGTGTAGGGCTCTCTAGGAACTTCAGACTGGTGGTGTTAGACTGTCCAGTTTTTCAAATGAAGCCAACAATCTGGATTCTGATGTTCAAGTTTTAAAAACTGGCAAGCAGATTTAAAAAAAAAACAAGAATTTAAATCATGCTTCAGACTGAACAATATGTTTGCAGCCATTATCTGTCTTGCCAGCCTGCAACTTTTAATCTAGGCCAACCCTATCAGCTCAAAGAGAAGGACCTTTTCCAAGGCCACCCTATTAGCTGCAGATGCAAGAATGAAACCCAGGCCTTCTGATTCTGCTGATGCCCTTTCCATTGGGATTCACTACAATGGCAGTGCCATCTGCAGAGCAGGGACAGAACTCCTTTTGTAAGATTCCCAAAGTGGTGAACCAGCTAGCTCCTGTAACCAGTGGAGGGCTGGGACACCAGCTCAGCCTCTAACCCTTTGACTTACAATTTGTCCTGCCTACAAAATGTGCTAAGGTAAAAACAGAACAGAAACTGTGGGAGTGATCTACTAATGACTGGCATCCATGCCGAGGGAGCTCCTTCCAGAGGGCCAGGACCCAGAGGTGGGATATCCCAGAGATCTAAGATAGAACCAAACATAAATGAGGGGGAAAAGTCAATGAAATGATCCCTAAGGATATTCTGCTATATTCATAGAGGCTTCATCCAGCAACTGATGAAAACAGATGCAGACCCACAGCAAACACTAGGCAGAACTCTGGGAATCCTGCAGAAAACGGGGAGGAAGGATTGTAGGACCCAGTGATGACAAGGGTACAAGAAAATCCACAGAACGAACAAACTCAGGCTCATAGGGGCTCAGAGAGACCAAATGACAACCAGAGAGCCTGCCTGAGATTGATCTAGGTCTTCTGCATATGTGACAGTTGTGCAGCTTGGTTTTCTTGAGACTCCCTAATAGGCAAGAGTAGGGGATGTCTCTGTGTTGCCTGCGTTTGGGACCCATTCCTCCTATAGGAGTGTCTTATCCATCCTTAATAGAAGAGGAGGGGCCTAGTCTCACTTGATATACCACGGGATGCCTGCCTATATCCGAAAAGAAACAGTAGAAGAGGAGTGGATGGGGTCTAGGGGGAAGCTGGGTGGGGGAGGGGGGAGGAAACAGGAAGAGGGGAAACTTTGGTTGGAATGTAAAAACAAACAAGGTTGAGCAGAGCCATGAGTGGTGGCCCACACTTTAATTCCAGCACTCTCAGGGCAGAGGCAGGTGGATCTCTTTGAGTTTGAGGCCAGCCTGGTCTAAAAGAGTTAGTTAAGTTCTAGGACAGCCAGGGCTGTTACAGAGACCTCTGTCTCAAAAACAAAACAAAACAACAAAAGAATTCTAAGACTAGTGTCTTATAAGGTGTTCCTACCCAGATACAGTAAAATTGTTGGACCCCATGGGCAAGTCTCTGTATTAGGAGCCACGAAGATACAACGAGGAAGCAGTCTTGGGAAGACAAACGTGTGAACCACCGTTTAGCAAGAAATCAGATAATGCACATGGATTATTGTATACAAGTCCAAAAGCACCGACAGCTGAGAGAGCTGGAAGATGGAGTCAGGCCTTCATGGGATGACTCGCTGATAGTGAGGGCTGATCCTATTGTTTGAGGTGTTATTGTTTTTGAGCTTCCTATTGGCTTCTACCCCTTCTGGGTGGTCTTTAAATGTGAGAAGGCCTAAGGAAGTCATGAATCCCCCTGTCTACTTCCTATTCCTAGCTCTACATTTGTTATCTCCACTCATGACTTTTATTCCAACTTGGGTACCTCATTTCTGGACATCTTTAATCGGGCCGTAAAATGACTTTCGCAATACGCTCAAGAGAGCTTAAGCTATTCCTTTTCAAACTGTTTTCTCTAGGGAGACATCTCTGGTTCCACCCTCTCCCACACACTTCATATCCAACTCAGCAGTCAGTCCGGCATGCGCAAGCTCCCAAATAAATTCTGAATCAATTTTCTTTATCCAACACCACTGCCACCTCTTCCAGGGCATCAGCAACAGCCTCTTACTAGGTCTGACTGTCTTCTCTATCCAGCAGCAATTTCAAAAAATATAAATAAGCTCTGGTCAATCACTATGCTTCAGGAAGTGGTAACACAAAGGCCAAACCCAAGAAAGGCTTCAATCTTTTCTGCCTTTTGTTCCCAGAGTTATCCCTTTGGCACTTTTCTCCACCCAGACATCTTCTCCCGTTCTCTCTCTCTCTTAAACCCCGAAAAGGCCTTCTCTCCACTCCGTCCAGCCTTTGGGGCATTTACTTATCTTCGTGCTCATTTACTTATTAAAGATAAGTTCAGAAGCCGGGTGGTGGTGGCGCACGCCTTTAATCCCAGCACTCGGGAGGCAGAGGCAGGCGGATCTCTGTGAGTTCGAGACCAGCCTGGTCTACAAGAGCTAGTTCCAGGACAGGCTCCAAAACCACAGAGAAACCCTGTCTCGAAAAGCCAAAAAATAAAATAAAATAAGTTCAGGACAAAGCTTCCTTCTTTTTCTCGTTTGCTCATCTGTACTGAAACCAGCCTTCATTGTCACCTGAAGTCTGACTCCTACATCCGGGTTCGTTTGGGTGGCTCTTCATAAGGCAGGCACTTCTTCAGCCTCCTAGAACTGCCCCTGTCGCCTTCCATTTACATTCTAAAAGTCTGAAGGGTCCCATGCCAGGTCTCGCCCACGTGCCACTTCCCTTAGGCAGGTCTCCCGAGACCAGCGGCGATGACACCGAGCCGCCCTCGCGAGGCTGGGGTCACACAGGCGCGGTCTCCTAGCAACCCCACACCCTCACCTCATCTCTGCTCCAGGGGAGCCAACCCCTTTCCCCAGTCCCCCGCGACTGGAGCCGGCGTCTCCATCCTTACACTCACTCTGCGTCAGTCCTGCCTTCCCCCAACCACAGGAGCGGGCTGGGAGGAGGCGGTGCCAGGAGCTCTGCCGAGCCTTGGCCACACCGAGCTCCATCCAGCCGGTCCGGTAGGCCAGGCCGGGCCAAACCACCAGGCGGACCGCTGTGGGAGCATGAGGCCCAGGTCAGAGGTCGTCTCAAACCGCCCCAAACTTCCAGCTCTAGACCACTCCCTGCCGCACTCAACAACAGACAACCTCTCCCTCCTGCTTTCCCCTTCACCCCTTCGTTAGCCCCTTCCCCCATTTCCAGTTAGAAAATGGCCTGGCCCAGCTCCTCTTAGCCCACCCTCCGCAGCTCCCCTCCTTGCCCTTACTTGGAGACGGCTTCGGACGTCTTCGTGTACGTCGTGACGTTACCCGCCTCGCTCCCGTCCCCGCCCCTCTCCCATTCTCTCTCTCCTGGAGCCAGCGGCCGGCGGGGTTACCGGAAGTGATGATGCAGGAGGCGATGGAGGGGGCGGGGCTTCGGGGCGGCCGCCGCCGGTGGGCCGCAGATGAGGAGGAGGCGGCGGCCGCGGTGGCAGAAAAGGCGGCGGCGGCGGGGGTAGGGAGCCTGGAAACGCAAGCGGGGATGGTAGGTGGTTTGGACCCGCCGGGCCGCCGTCGTTCCCAGAAAGGGTTTGACTGGAGGAACCTCTGGAGCAGCTGTGAGTTTGGAGCGGGGGGGGGGGGGGGGGGGGAGGGAGCTGAGGAAAAGGGGGGAGCATTGAGAGATGAAGGGGCGGGGGTTCGGTTCCTTCGAGAAAGGGGGTGGTGGTGGAAGGGGAGGAGTGCAAATCAGCGCCTTGTCTGGACTGGTCCCTCTGGAAGAAGAGGCTGTGAGGGGAGCCTGTGGCGTGTCAAGCGCGCAAGGCTCAGAAAACTTACCTACTGTCCCTGCCTGCCCATCGCCAGCACCCCTCAATCCCAGGCCTGGGGACCTGGGGTCGTAGATGCTCGGGGAGGGGCTGCAGACTCTGAACTGAAAGTCCAGGGTAAGAGCCGTGAGGTAGGAGCCCAAGGGGGAGGTGGCGGGTGAATCTCCAGCTCCCTCCCTGATTTTCCTCCCCACCCCCATCCTTCTCTGTAATCGTTAACAGCCCTGGAATTAAGGGGCTCAGACCTGAAGGCCTTTCTGGGCACCTTTGCTACAAACGATAACCATCTGTGCCTGAGGTAATGGGGCTGGAGGCTTTGCCTATATCCTGTTTAGGAAGTGGGACGGGGTGACAAATGTCTTGTTTTTTCCATCCCTCTTATCCTCCCCCATACACACCCCTGTTTCTACTTTCATTCTCTGTGGTTGAGTGGCAGTCTGGTCACCCTGTCCCCTTTGTGGCACTTAGTACCTTGGTTACCTCTTTTGAATTTTGTGTTCAGCCTCTATCCCATCTCCTAACTGCAAGCTTTGTAGTACTTCAGTTCTGGTCTGTGTCACACTGGGGAGTACCTCACAACGCCGCCCGGCTCCCGGTCCTAATGAGCGTTTTCTTTTATGGATACTGGAATTCCAGACCTCTTGCAAGGAAGCATAAATGGCATCATAGCCCAGGAATCAAGATCTCTGACTCCAAATACTTTATGTGTGAGGAATTTACATGGTGTCAACTCTTTCCCAAAATGATTTGATGTTAGGCTAATTCTGTATTTCTGGATTTCTCTCCACCCACACTTCATGATGCACTTCTGAGAACAGAAAACCCCATATTACTTTTTCTTGTTGTTGTTTCTACAATTGGACAATAGCTCTTTATCTCTTTTTCCATCTGTGTGTCTGGCACACTTGTCTTCAGTGACAATCGACTTGTGCTGATTTTTATCTTATTTAGCTAATGCTTTGTGTATAGGAGACAGTGTGGTGCGTAGTTTTGTTTCTAGCAGAATACAAATTCCAAATGCAAATGTTTGAAGAAAGAATAATTGGAAAGATCTCTTTCATATTGTTTAAAAAACAAACAGAAACCACCACAGAGTAAGCAGTGCCTCTTCTAGCCTGTCATAGAGATTTCAGAGTGAAGTGTTAAGTGTTCTTTTTTGCAGCTGATACATTTTTTAAAAACGAAATCCTCTGTTGATTATGGAACTGTCTTCTAAGAAACTTTATGTTTTAAGAAATAGTGCTACATATTTGACTAGAAAGTGCATATGTTTTACCTTGTCACCGAATTGGGTGTGTAGTATCACTCAGGTGATCATAACAGATGTTCTTCTGATGCTGGAAGAGAGTCCCATCATATTTATGAGGGCCTTCAGGCCTGATCAAACAGAATACTTAATGCCCCAGTTGTACACTTATGGTATGTAGATGGTTTACAGAAACAGAAGAATTATCTCTAGTCTTACTTTCATTCATTGGAACCTAGTTTGCCATTGAATGAAAAATTCAAAATTCATCCAATTAAGACTGGCTATAAGTACTAGCCAGTGTTTCAGACACTAGGTGTACAAAAGTGAACACAAGGAAAAAGTCCACTCTCGCCGGGCGATGGTGGCGCACGCCTTTAATCCCAGCACTCGGGAGGCAGAGGCAGGCGGATCTCTGTGAGTTCGAGACCAGCCTGGTCTACAGAGCTAGTTCCAGGACAGGCTCCAAAGCCACAGCGAAACCCTGTCTCAAAAAACCAAAAAAAAAAAAAAAAAAAAAAAAAAAAGTCCACTCTCACGGAGTTTATCAGAGTGGGAGATAAATAAGCAGATCTGATTTTGATTAAATGCTGAAGACAAGGAGTGATGGGCTAGAAGGTGACTGGGATGCAGGCCTTCCTGAGGTGACACTTTAAGCAGAACTTTAAAGAAAAGGAGCCAGCCGTGCAGAGATGAAGGGAGGACTCTTGGAGGTTTAGGAAACTGGCTGGAATGAAGTTGGCAAGTTCTAGGGACTGGGGAGAAGAGCGTGGGGGTGGAGTGTAAGTCCAGTGAGTGAAAGGTCGCATGAAATAGGGTCAGAGAAGTGGAGTTTTGGGGCTCAGGTAGACCAAATATGAGTAGGGAGGAAGAAATAGAAAAACTCATTTTGTTTAATTTTGCTGCCTTTCCTGGGCCTTTATCATTATCTTTGCAGGTTCTGTTGAACTATTATAATTAAAAACAAAAGCAGCTCACCCAGCCGAGAATAATAAAGAGGGTAGCAGTGGTCACTTTGGCTATGTGTTTAGGAATAAGCAGGATGTTCAATTGAGGACACACCTGTTCCATAAAATACATGGCTGTACGTGTTACTATTTAAAATTGTGTAATAAGTACTCTAAATGTGTGTTAGTATAGACATCTTCCATCTCTGTGTGACTTAGGGTTGAAGGATTGGGCACGTGCTAATAATATGTTGCTCTACAAATGACCATCTAGATAGGAGTTTTACATTTTTTTTCTTTTGTGGAGAGGCAGCATTTGTGTTGCAATAGTTCCTCTTGCCTGGGCCTCCTGGTGAGTAAGAATATTCCGAGAGGTAGGTTGGAGCTGAAAGTTCCCTCTGGATCACATTAGATTTTATTTTATTTTTGGATTGGCATGTAACTCAGGTATGTAGTCTACTTTTGCTTTCAGTTGGGGGCATTCATCTCCAGTTCAACCTTATCTTGGACAGATTGTCCACTTGAGAGGCCTAATCAAGTTGTCGCCTTGATTTGGCCCTCCTGAGCTGTATCACAGTAGGCAAAAATGGAAAGAGTATTTTTTTTTCCTTCTCAGCCTCACAGAAGTGACAGGAGTATTCTCTGATTGAATCAGTCCTGTGAGCCAGGCAGTTGAGAGACAGAAATGTTGCTTAGACTGTAGTAAACGCAGTCTTACAAATGGTAAATGAAACTTCTTGGTGTTTGTTGAAGACAGATTAGAAATGGTGAAGTTGGTTTAGGTTCTAGTGCTCTACGGCCTGTGGTGGCTCCTCAGAACTAACTTGGGTAGAGCTTTTGGTGTTGTCCTAGGGTAAGGAAGATACACACCTTGTTATTGGAATGCTAACAGCAAGTCTTCCTTTGCAAGTAAATGACTAATGTGAACTGTCATTGACTTGCAACTGTTAGGACCTGGCGTGGTGTACACATCTATGGCTTATTGCCAGGTTAAAGAGCTTGCCCCTGACTTCATGCACTGCTGCTGGGCATGCAGTGCTTTTGGTGTTAAGGAGTCCACTGTTTCTGGTCAGTTCGATGATTCATTACAACTCAAGTATGTAAATATTGTCTAGGCTGACGCTTCATCAGCCAGTTTAGAGCCTACCTTTTGACAGCGGGGGGACTTGAACACAGGGAGAAGCCCTTAACCCCTACATTGACCAATAATTAATTTTGGGAAATGAACTAAATCTAAGTGAATTTGGAGCGTTGGAGCTGCGTTGGCCTTTTGACCTATGGTGCCAGTCAGTTTGTTTAAGGTTTGGGGGATTTTGGACACATTCCAATGAAAGGTGAAAACCTAAAAACCAGCTGGTGCCACTTGCCTTTGAAATTGTGGGTCAGTTGTTTTGCATTGCGTTAGATGGCTTAAGTTAATCTGATTTTACTACTGTCTTGGTATGTGTTCTGTAGTGAGGAGAGTAAATTGTACAGTGCCAGTTGTTTTGAGGTGAAGAAGTAGTAACTCAGATCGAAACAATGGTAATTATGTGGTGACTGCCGTTTCCCTACCTCTGGATAACTTACAATTACTCTTTGTGTCTGTCTACAGATGTTCACACCAGTGTTCCAGGATCAGTTCTTCCTGATGCTTGGAACAGTGTTCTTAGTTCTTTCTGTAACAGACCAGGTCGATTGACTTAGTGTCCTTTAGTTCAAATCTAGTGTCACCAATTCTTGTATCTTTTTTTTTCTAGGCAATGAAAGGTTTTATTTCTTTGGGGGCCAAAAAGGAGATTTGAGTAAGAATAACACCAAAAGGTGATGCAAACTGATTCTTTGGAATTAGGCTATGCCGAAAGAGGGGGAAATGCCCAGTCTTTAAGATCTATGCAAATGTGATCTTATTTAAACACCATACTTTGGAACTTGTAAAATGATGACTTTTGCTTCCTTGAGAGTTTGACCTTGCTCACATCTTTAAGTTGATTTGAATTGTTTGGTTTGGGACTGAGATATAGCATAGGAGCCTACATTGTACAGCAGTATAAGCATCATTTGGTAAGCATCATCACACTCTCTTTCTGTCCTGCTGCACATTACTGAAGCATTCAACCTCAGGGCCCAGTGACTGGAAATAATGCTGTCACTGAGACTGTTAGATCTAGACCAGCTCTGATAACTGGCAGATCTCTGATAGCACTCTGCAGAGAGCAGGACTTCATTTTAGGGGTATTTAGCATCTTGTAGCCATTTATTGCTTTTTGTGCCTGTCAGTCCAGGAGATGGTGTGTTGGAGCTGTTTCTTGTTTTAGTAGTGAGAGCATCTGTTGTATTGAATGCAGTTAATTCTACTTCATCTAGTTGTTGACTGAGGTTTTCTGTCCCGCCCGGTCCTGCCCGGTCATTCAGTCCCAAAGAAACACACAGAGGTCTACATTAATTATAAAACTGGTTGGCCCATTAGCTCAGGCTTCTTTTTTTTTTTTTTTTTTTTTGGATTTTCGAGACAGGGTTTCTCCGTAGCTTTTTGGTTCCTGTCCTGTAACTAGCTCTTGTAGACCAGGCTCGCCTCGAACTCACAGAGATCTGCCTGCCTCCGCCTCCCGAGTGCTGGGATTAAAGGCGTGCGCCACCACCGCCCGGCTAGCTCAGGCTTTTTATTAACTCTTATAACTTGTATTAGCCCATTATTCTTGTCTATGTTAGCCATGTGGTTTGGTACCTTTTTCGGCGAGGCAATCACAGTCCTCTGTGTATGGGTCACAACTGCAGAATGAAACTTCTCTCTTCCCAGACTTCTCGTTGCTCCGCCTCTATTCCTGCCTGTCTCCCCGCCTATACCACCTGCCTAACTACTGGCCAGTTAGCATTTTATTAAAAATAATACAAGTGACAGGGTACAGACCATTGTCCCACAGCATCTAGTCTGGGAAGATGCA